TAAATTCAATGGACTTTAGATGTAGATGAAGTTGGATAAATGTTCATTAATTCAAATCTACCAAAGAGTGAATTATTTGATTCATTTTTGATGCTTTGGATTAATGATATGTTTAGTACTTCAATCCATCGAGATGAGTGATTGAATTTAAAGATGAAAGTAATTTGAGGTAGTGATCCAAATTAGCTTATCATTCCCCTCCCTCTTCATCTTATCCTTTTTTATATTGTACTACATGTTAAGGGATAATGATCTCTATATCATTTATCCAAACATGAAGTACATAGATTGCTATTGACCGGCCTCAAAATAGGTGTGACTTCTACATAAGTCCACTTATGATTGCTTAACATAGCGCTAAATTTTATCCCGATTCGAGAAAATGATCATTCGTGGCACAAACTTATGTTCGTAAGCCCAAGTATGTAGATTTGAACCCTTTTATCCAATAACCTTGAGATTCATTGTTATGAGGCTTTGGTTCTACCAATCCTCCAATGGATCTTCATCAGTTTTGATCAACGTGGATCACTTAAACATCATTGATCATTAAAATGTTGCCTTGAGGATTCTTAAATGGATGATATACTTGGAAAAAAATGCAACTTGTTGTTGAGAGGCTTTGGTTCTACCAATCCTCTAATGAATTCCAAATACAAGTTTCAAGATGGTCATCCAACTAACCATTAACTTCTAACAATTGACTTTATTTTATGCTTTTATTTTTATGCTTTTACTTTATGTACCATTTACTTTAGCATTTACATTTCATGCTATTTTCATCTTTTCTCACTTGAGAATTTACTTTTATGTCATTTTTTATTTTGCTCACTTGAGTTTTTCTTTTCCTTTTAAAGACACTTAATAATCAACATGAACCATAAAAAAACATTAATGATACTTGGACTATTTGGTTACTATCCTTGACATTATGGAGTATTGGACTTCTTGGACTTAGGAATAGAAACATTGATCTTATGTTGGAGACCTTGTGACCTTAATTGATATTTTGTCTAGGGTTCTTGAGGTTTACCTCAAGACATTGGGTTGTTTATTTGTTTTGTATGCAGGTTATTGTGATTACATACTTTGTCTGTAATATAGAATTTATCTTTATACAGCCGTTACTCTGCCCAATTTTTGTGAAGATTTAATGCAATTAAAGCTTGGTTTTCTCATGAGGTTTAATATCCTTGCTTGGTTTCAATCTAAAGAATAGAAATTCTATCTTGATTCATAATGTCAAGAGTTAGCTTCTTGTTAGTTAGATGGTTCTCTTCCTTAGCTTTTACCTTATGCTTTAGGATAGTCCCTTCATCTCCTCTCCTTCTTTAATTTTCAAAATCTTCTTATCTTTTTCAAAATCTTCTTTGTTTATAAACTGGAACCGTTTTCATAATAAACCACGGCTTTGTCGAGTGCCATTTCTTTTAAAACTTCTTTTCTTTAAACAAACTTCAATTCACTTAATCATACTTTGACATCTTTCAAAATTAACAAAAATACTTCAACTCATTTAAACCCTTTTGTGCGCTCAAGCACCTTCTACCCCTTCAAACTTTTTTTTCCAAGACAAGACGTGATTCATTGATAGTCGAACAACATTCTACTACCCCCATGGTTATAAAGGTGTCGACTTTTCCACTTGAGTGCTAGAGGCGTTCTCAAACCCTCACTATTGCTGACGCAGGGTCCATCTTTCCCGTACCTTGTGGACGTTAACCGAGATTTCTCTCCTAACAATGACGACTTGTCTCCTTGTTTAAAATCAATCTACAGACAATTCTTTTCTAACCGAACTACGGTACTCTGACTTTCCCATTGCACGAGAGAGTACGTAGGCACTAAGTTTTACGACCCAAGGCAAGCAACAAAAATAATAAAAAATATTTCATTTTCTTTTGTTTACAAATACTCATTCATTCTTTTCCTTTAACAAGCAAACTTTTACATAACACTCCTTTTAAAAGAAACCAAACAAAGTGGATCCTGCGGAATACCGTAGATGCTTAGGGTGCTAATACCTTCTCTTTACCGACCCCCGTACCTCGATCTCTGACCTTTTATTTCTTTTTTAGGTTTTGTTCGCTTTTTTCCTATTTCCCTTTGGAAACAATAAAGTGCGGTGGAGACTTCATTGTGTTGAGATAAGTTAATTGATGGCTTAATCTCAAATCTTTACCGCTACATTTCTTTTCCTATCATTACTGTCACAATTTCGTTCATTACAGTAACCATTTTTTGATAAATAAATGCATAATACTTGATTCTTAAGCCACTGGTTTTTTAAATTGTTTTTGGCAAAAAAATGATACAAGACTGATAAGAGTTGTCTAGTTTTTAACAATCCAAACTTTAACTTTCACATGTAGTAGTATTTCAATCGAATTTGGTTACTGGAATCAAAATAGAGAATCATTTCTTTATATGCGACCATCCTTTCACCTCCATGCATATAAAGCACATAAATACAAGTATTAAAGTTGTTAAAGTTCACTTACCAAATAATGCAGCCACCTCTATGTTTGCTGAAACAGAAACATAAACTCAAACTGAAGGAGAGGATACAAATGGGACATGTTACCTTTACGCAATTGTTTATTCAGACCATTCTCCATCAGTACCAACTATGTTCATCCAGTTGCACCAGTTCCTGTCGGATCCAACATTATCATCAAGCATTACGGTGCCTTTCCTTCCTCCGCCATGCACAATTATGTGTCATAGTGTAGTAAATAATTTCATAAAATGAGACGAGTGCATTATTTAGAATACATTAACAATGACTGAATCATTGGGAGAGCCAGATGATAATGCCAATAGTCATCAGCAACTTCTTCATCTGGTCCGCCATCTCCATTCTTGGTTTCAACATAAGCCTTAAATTTAACACGATTCAAATCTTCATGAAGTTCATCCAATAAAAAAGCAAGTAACTCCTGTTGAGAAAGATGCATATGCATATATTGTAGATAATGTAAGGGTACATGGAACATGAGCCTTGTATAAAGGCAAAAACTTAAGACATGGAACGAAAGGGCCAAACGCACAAACTTTCAATCATGGTAATTAAACCCACTAAAGTGATGTGCAAATCTAGAAAGCTTTGATTTGAACATCCTTAGTGCCACAAGACTTGCACCAGAAGGCCAAAACTTCATAATGGCCGAGCTTTGCATTCTACTGTATAATGAAATTGTCCAGCTCACCTATTCTTATTGCCTGTGACAGTACCTTTATGTAACATGTCAAAAGATATTTTGAACAATCATAACTAATTACTAAATTCTGCAACATAATTTAGTAACAAACTGAAGACCTTCACCGAAGAATAGATACAATTGACTACATTAATATTTCAGAATAATATTAAATACAAACCACAAAAAAATTATCAGAGATAATGGTACATGCCAAACCAACAACTTTAAGTCTCTCAACCAATTATATCCTTTATTTTTGCTTCATCAGATATTCCATGCTTTCTTTAAAGCCAACTGCTGAGGGAGTTCTCGACCTCTGTCATGTTCACTCTACAAATTGCATAAAAACAAAGATGTAATAAGTGTAGGGAAGTCTAAAAAGGGGCAGCGACAAAGACATGATACGTGGATTGCTCAAGTTACTTATTATAACGGTTTCAAAGTTCAAACTACATTGATGGGCCTGATAAACAGTTAGTGGCTCTTCATGAGTAATAACCTAATCCATTAAGCATAATGTATCGATACATATAATAAAAAACATAACCATATATACTTATATACCAGCTATCAATAATGAAAGAACATGAACTAACCAGATATTGCTCATAAACAAAGTCCCTTCTGCCTCTTCCAGGTGTCAGAGGATGTGTTTATAAACTTTGTTTTAGACCATAGACTAGTGTTTAATTTAACGTAGGTCCCTTAAGCTATCCAACTGTATGAAGATGCTCGAGAGTTGTCACTGTCCAGGTGCCTTCTTTAATACCATATTAATCGGTGTAGTTTCTCTTTCAGTTGGATCCATTATCCAAAGGCAAATAGCTCTCTGATTTCAATGGTATACATATTTTGCAATTAGAATGTTCATTCAAACATATAGCTACATTGTTTTATTGTTATAGATTTTTAAATATATTTCAATGAATATGGAATATTAGTGTTATGACTTGTAATATTTTTACCTCAAAGTTTCATGAGTTCAAATTTGAGCATTTCAATAAGATCTTGATGATAGACTTCTTGATAAGCTAGTCTTAGAAGTTTCCTTTATCCCGAATCCTGCAGACAATAAAAACCATGAATGTATTGTAACTTATCTCAAATGATAAAACATTGTCAATATGTTTGATGTGCTGAAACACGAGTTCAAACCCGCAATACTTATACGGTCATCTCTACATTCAATATGTTATTTTTTTCACTTAAAATTAGTGATTGAAAAATTATATTGATATAGTCGATTATGAAACATGAGTATGTAAAATTTCATAAGAAACATAAAATCTTTGACAGGACAAAAGTGATGCTACAATATTATAAGACAGTAAAAGAAATTGAAAACGTGGTTGCTACAAGAAGGGGGAACATTTGAGAAACAATACAAAAAAAAAAAATGTGTCAAGCTAAAGATGACTTGTCGTGGCAGAATCAAGAGTTAATGTTCCCATCGGGTATTTGCCTGTCATATTATTATAGTATGGTTAGATCATGTTCGAGGAAACAACACATAAATAACAAATATAAATGACTGAGTAATCTCTATGTGATTACCATTATGAAAACATCGCCTAAAGCTGATCCCATTCCTGAAAGCACATCAGATCGACCTGCTCAAATTCAAGAAGCTCTGTAGTTATATTAATTCTATACAAAAGCTTGCTAGATTCATTTGGTGATAGAGTCATGACTTATACCATGCAGAGAAAAGAAAAAAGTATCAGATCACAGAAATAGATGTTTCTCGATGCACGTTTTCCAATACAATGTTACTTTTGGAATAGCTATCATATCAGATCAGAAATTTTTACTACACCAGTTTATGTAACTATGATATTCGTCAAGTGTTGCATGATGTTCATAATGTTCTACCACTTTCAAGTGTTGCATGATGTTCATGATGTCCTGCTCTTCCAAATGCAGACCGGCAGGAAACCAAACCATGTTATGTTTAGAGAAAAGGGAGAACCCTATATGCTTGGAATTGTTTCCTAAAAGAATACTTACTATAGATTCATCCTGCCAGCCATGATGTTTCATTGACGACCTGTATGTTGCATACATAGCAAATATACACATGTTATCAAGCCATAACTAAAATAAATAAACAGGTTAATTTTTTAATCTATAAAAAGAAGAGACAAACCTCTCAAAGGAAATTATGAACATTAGGGTTACCTTGCAATTGAGTCTTGACACAATAACAATCTTGATTCTCCTTATCAGGTGAGTCAGGGTAGTAACCTAGTAACCTCTCTGAGTAAAAATAGAATACTCCACAGTGAAATTATGAGAAGGAACATCAACAAAATGAAGTGATCAAAATATACAAAACATACAAAACATTAGTGGTAGTGACACGTTACTTTAATAATCTATTGCACTGTAACGTGTTTGTCATGTTCAAACATGTGTGAAACATAGCAATTTTCAAGTCCAAATTCCAAACATTATCTTTGCACTATTTCATCAAATCCCAACGATGCTCTTGATCATCCGAGTCATTGTTACCATCATGCGGTTCAGATTTCACATCAGATCATCGATCATGTTCGTGAGAGGATTGTGTTTGCATCTGCATTTGCATTGGCGTTTGATGCTGATCATGTTCCTGAGATGATTGTGTTTGAATATGCATTTGCATTGGCATTTGATATTGTTCCCGTTCCTCTCTCTCCGATTCAGCCTCACACTCTATCCAACATCGTTTAGGTCCAATAGAAACCCCAAACAGTTTAGGAACTTGAGCCCCATGGCCATTCTCAAGTTCAGCCAAATTTTCCGTCTCACACGATGCACCCGATACATGACCGACAATGCCAACCAAACTTTTCATCTCACACGATGCTGCGCCACCGCCACCACCACCAACATTAACAACCATAACCTCATAAACTAACAAAACATTCCTTGTATGCAACAAATCCAACGCTTTCCCCCCTTCAGTTACAAAGACAACTCATGCCGTTGTGGTGCTAGTCGATGATTCTAACTATCGACTAAAACCAAAAGCATAATTACTCATCATAGATAATATACTATTACAAATTCATTTCAATTGACTCGACTCGTTACTCAATTTCATATTCTCTTTCTTAAGCCTTTCATTCTCTTCAAATAACTCAGGACACTGTAGTACTATTGTGCGCCATAATTAGAGACGAGTTCGATGAAACCACCTGTTCATCATCTAAAGTCATTGGAGACACCATCCTAGCTGGTGACGCCATCGCTACCATCATAACATTAGCTATAATATATTTATATACTAAGAGTATAAATATGGTGAAAAAGATAAAATAAAACTATAGTACTATTAATTAAGGGAAATAAACTATATGCGTTATTGATTGGTTACCTTTGAAAGAGATGAAGTGCGTTGAACGGAAAAGACACCTTGAAAACTCATATCAACAAAAACAAAGTAGATCGAACGATTTTCAGCACGGAAACATACATGAAAACGAAGAAAGCACTTGGAGGCCTCTTAGGCTTGTTAGGATCCTTCGCAGCTCTCTTTGATTGCTTAGTTCCAGCACCAACGCCCTTGCGCTTCAACCTAACAAACAAAAACTAACACGAGATCGAAAAAAGGAAAAATGAAAACTCCATATCAACGTTAGCTCATTCATTCCCTTTCTCCTCCACAACAATTTTATCTACGATTGAGGCATCATCCATCACATTTTCTCACTTCCCTCCACCGATGCCACGTCAGCAACTGTAACCTCCGTGTTTGTGTTTGCGGTAGCGTCCCAGCCTTAACTGCAACCGCGATCTCAAGGTCTCCGTTATTGGGGAAATTCGAAACATCATCGTCGACATTGGGCTGCAAATCGGAGGCATGTGGAGGAGATTAGTTAGATTTTGGTTCGTAGTCTTCGACGTTCATAGTTGAATTGAAATCTCTATAAAGAGGGGAAATTAAGAGCAATAATATCAGGGGAGATTGAACGAAGGAAGCAGTGGAAAATTTTGTAACCTCCATTTCTTATATGATAGATTTGTTATTATGTAACCTACATGCTAGTGGAGAAATTGGAAGTGGAGAAAGAAAAGAATAGAAAGTTTTTGAAAGAAAAGATGTTGTGCCATGGAGAAGTCACATTTTGTGATTTTGGAGTAAAAGGGTAAAATTAATTTTTTGGATAGATACATTTTTCTTATTTATAGATTACTAGCATTATATAATTAATTTTTTAATATAAAAAAATTACAAATAACATTGAATTATTTTCCAACTTAACTTGTTACCAGAATGCGTATTGACAATGGTAATTAAAGCATATCCTTGAAAGAGGAAGGAAACAATAATTCTTACAATCCTTGTCAGAAAAACACACAAAAAAAAAACAAGATTTTCTATGACAAAACAAAAAAATTAATATAAAAATATATATGACAGAGGCAAGATTCAAACACTCAACCTTTCTAATATCATCAAAGGCAAGAGTCAACCGCTGGGCCACAAATATAAAGTTGACATTTTTTTCAATACGTATTATATATAGGAATTTTAAGTTTTAATTTATAAAGCCCAAGACCAAATAATTTGAGACCTCATTCTTTTTGAGGTTGCGATGTGGGCTTGGTTGCCCTAACCTAGGGCTGACCTTAATATATATATATATATATATATATATATATATATATATATATATATATATATATATATATATATATATATATATATATATATATATATATATATATATATATATATATATATATATATATATATACACGTGTGTGAAAAAGAGGATAAAAATAATTATATTTTTGAATATCTGTATAAAGATCATATTGTTGGTTTCCTTAAAACTGATGTGGTTTTTTTTCATGAATAACCATTTAGGCTTGTCTACTCGCCTCATAATTTTGGTGTCTCCTAATTTAACTAACAAATCCGTAATCCATATTCTTAGGGTTTTTATAATGCTTTGGATCAAAAGACCTAAGTGAGTTATATCAATATTGTGCCCTCCACCGTTTTGACCTTCTTCTTCCATGGAGTTGAATTGGTCAATATGTGTTTTGTTATCTGTTAGGACGTAGGTTATGTTGACGCTCATAACCTTTGCCATCATCAACACATTATTAATCGTTTGAGCTTCTGCAACAAGATGACTCTTAAACTTCTTTGGTTCCAACAAATCTCAGTGGTTTTCTCATTCTTCTTATTTTTCATGATTGCTCCGACCGAGGTTTCACTCACCATCAATGGTGAGGTTGGCATATGTGTAGATGGAGTAAATATTTACATAGTCTTCCTTTTCTCTCATATTATTCTTCATATGAGATGTTTTATTCTGAGCTTTTTCCTTCAACTTTTCCTCTATATCTGAATTTCTAGTTTTGAGGTTAGTTTTGTTCTTTTGCAAGTTTTTCTCCTAGATTTTGTCTTGGATCTCACATTGATAACCTTGTTTCACCCCTTTGTTGAAATCTCACTTTGTTGTATCATAGGTGTAGATTTTGATTGTCCCTCTGGTTGGTATAACTGCTCTGATTTGTGTTGTAAGATGATTAGTACACTAATCTTTAGCACTTTCTTGCTCTTGGCGAGTATGAATATTCATTTTTTCTTTGCAGGTGTTTGTTCGACATTGTCTTTAGTTGTTTGTGATTATTAGTGCTAGTGTGGCATGGCAGGGCATTCATATTTCTCAAATCAAAATGGCCATTATGATGAATTTCCTAGTTTGTGCTGGTTTGGTGGTGCAAAGCCTTCATCTTTCTTGACACAATATAATCTTTAGGATGATTGTCCTTACCAAGGTAAGAACTTTTTGTAGGTTTTTGGTGCTGGTTAGTGACCCACTTAATTCTGGTGTTGTTGATGTCAATGTTACTTTTTTGTGAGGTTTGCTCTCTGTATGGTGGTCTGCATTCCCATCTTTATTACTACAAAAAACACATTTCTTATCCATTTCTTACTACAGCTACATAACCAACCGAGGTAATATATAGTCATTTGGCGCATTTCATTTTTTATATTTTAAATAAAAATCAATCACTTTTCACCATGGTCAAAATTAACAACCATTGTGATATAGTGACACATTTCGAGACCCAATACCTGTAAATTTTGTGTTTTTTCGTAATAAAAGGGTGTATTCCTTTAAATTCTAATTTTAAATAAAAATTAAACACTTTTAACCACGGTCCAGATTAACAATAGTAGTGAAATATCCTGACAAATCAGCACAAATGTTTTTAACAACCATTGTAAGATATATTATCCATATAAGCTAACTTAATTCACTTCAGAACAAACTGCATTGTAAGTGTGAAACCCTAACTTCTCTCATGTTATCCCAATCTCTCAAAACTCCATCCTAACTTTACAAAACTCCAACATAACTTTTCAAACTAGTACAAATCAAGGAAATGTGTCACGAAACAAGTAGCAAGCTCATATATTTGTTTTCATCTTCCACAATTCTCTTCAAGGAAAGGTATGCATCGGGTTGTTGTTGTTCAAAATATTAGTCTTATTTTTATTTTTTTTCTTGTTCAAAAGTTACGTCAAATATTTGTCTTTGTTCAGCATAAGGTTTATTTTTGTCTTGTTGTTAAGATGAGATTATAGGTTTAAATTATTGAGATAAGTAAACTGTTTAAGTTATTGTTAAGGTATGTGGTTGTTTTGTTAAAGTAAGTTATTGTTTATGTTAAGGTAAATTTATGATTTTGTTCATAAATGTTATTGTTTGTGTTATTTGTTTATAAATGATTTTGTTTTGATCATAAATTTATGATTTAGTTTACATATTTTTTGTTGAAGTATGTTGATGTTTTTATTGAGGTATGTTGATAAATATTGTTGTTGATGTATGTTTGATAAAAAAATTTGTTTGTGTTATTGTATGATGTATTTGTATATGTATGTTATTATATATGATATTGTTAATGTTATTACTTGTATATTGCAACTATCATTTAGTTCAGCCAATATGTTATAGAAGATGAGTTTATTATATACTATGTGGTTTGAGTGTTTTACCAACAACTCATTGAATATATAACCTTTAGAATAGAATTAGAAAATAATAATATGAAAATTTAAGTTATGTTAGAAAACAACTAACATTAATCAAATTTTTATGGGCTTTCTTCATCTCGTTATCTGTATCTCGCTCTCTGACTATTAGAGTTTGGTTTAATGTTTCTAGTTCTTCAACTAAAACTTCCTTTTTTACTTGTTTATTCTGCAAAGTCATTAATACTTTGCATAATGAACTAGTAAAAAAAGGAAGTTTTGATTGAACAACTACAAGCATTAAACCAAATTCTAACAGACAAAGAGCGAGATACGAATAATGGATCGTAGGAAACTTAAAAACATTTATTAGTGTAAGTTATTCTTCTAATATAACTCAATTTGTCACATTATTAATTTCTAAATCAGTTTGAAAGGTAATATGTTTATTGACAAGTTAGTGAAATAAGCATTCCACATAAGTTATAATAAACTCAAGTGAACATATCACAACAGTCGATACTTTTAACTGTGGTAAAATATTGTATATTAAGTCTTTCACTACAGTTGGAATGTTCAATCATGGTGAAATGTTGAAGAATCTCTCAAAATATTGACGCTGGGTATCGAACCCTTGGCCTTCTCATTGCACTACAGTTGCATTCTACAATCATAGTGATATGTTACACGCTACTGAGCTTTTACAATGATTACCTGCCCGTGGTGGTAAAGAGGGCACATACTACCACACCTTATGTTACCACAGTTTATCACCTGCGATGATATCCTTTTTCCAACCATGGTGAAAGACCTTTTTTGTAGTAGTGTTTTTTGTTGGCTTGATCGTTATTCATAATTGAAATCAGGTTAGGATTCTCATCTTTGTCCCCTTTTTTTCTTTT